GCACGGCACACGAGGGGGTGGGTGGCCTGCAACCACGCCCGCCCACCTTTGTCTCCCCAGTGGCGATGTTTACACGACCTCCTCTTGATACCAAGATCCAGGATGGTCATCGTGTCAATGCGCCGCTTCTCGGTGGCAGCCCCAACAGTCTGGAACGATAATCCCTCTGCACATTCGCAGCATCACCTCAATCGCCTCCTTCAAGAGACACTTAAAAACTCACCTCTACAATCACGCTTTCGAGCGACTCTGAGCTTGGCTCCGCGCCTCTGAGTTGCGGCCATTACGTCTGCAAATTTGCGCGCGTTACAAATTGAACTATTATTATTATTACACACCACACCAGGCACACATTTTAGGCTGAGTCGACCTTGGACAAGGCCCCACGACCGGTTTAGATAATCGTCGCTGGTTTTGGCCGTAAGTGGGAATCTAACTCGGTTCGCTGGGTTTTGTAGCGCAGCGCTGCTAACCGCTGCACCACCGCTCATCACCACTCGCTCACTTGCTCACCCACCAACTCGCCCACTCACCAAACTGCAGGTCACTTCACTTCTTACTGCTTCTTCCCCAGCACTGCTTGGTTTTGGAAGCCACTCTCAACGTGTTGCTTCAGAAGTTCTCACAACCTAACTCAATTTCAAGAAATGCGTTAACTCTTAATCTATTTCACTGTCAGTAGTTTAACATGTAGCAGGGGACGGCTTTCGTGACCAATATTATCTATAGTAGAGTGGTTTTTTTTTCCGGTTAGATCGAGTAAAATATCAATGCGTCGTTAACCCCGCCACCACTCGACACAGCCAATTAGTAAGGTTTGTCGCGTGAACAAAACGCGCCAATTAGTTACTAGTTCAGCGACACACCTGGTGTGCTGGAGAGTCAAACCCGAAACGTTTACAATTTGACGTTTCGCCCGGGTTAACGACACATTTATACTGAACGCGATCTAACCCAACAAAATAACAAAAACCTTTGCTGTGGACTGCCGGTCGTGTTGCCTGTTGCCAGCCACTCGGGTATTATTGGGACCTTATGCTCAGCAACTGTGATGTAAAAAATAATGGGTTGCCAATAAGGGGTTAAATCTTGATTTGAAGCTCTCGCGACTGCAGTAAATCATACTATTTGGTTATTTCGGTAAAGTCACGTAGGTAGGAAAATTAATAATAGATCACGACGTTTCGATCGCAACAACAGGCAATCGTCTTCAGGTGAGAGAGACAAGTATTCCGTTGTGGCGAGGCATTATATAGATCCGAGAGGGGGGGAGGGAGGGGAGGCCGTAACGGGCGAGAGGGTGGGGGTGAAATTCAAAGAGGGCTTAGGTGAGAGAGAGAAAAAATTAACCCGTAAAAACAAAGTTTTTCACTATAAATCTTTTATATGCGTGGCATCGGTTTCATTTTATTATTCATTTCTGTTTTTCTTGAGTAAGCAAGCAAGCAAGTGAAGTTAATATAAAGGATTTAAAAATGAAAGATCACCTCTTGACATGCCCCGTATATTCCCGAGGGCACTAGCGTTGACCCGTTTTACCACTTTCAAGAACCTGGCGGCTTCAATTTAACTGCTCTATAAATAGTCTCCATTGTGCAGCGTGGGGGCAGGGATTTCATGCCATGTGGTTAGTCAACATTTGCGTCATCATGAAACGGGCGGCTACAGTCCTCTCGTCCTCTGGCTTGAGATGGCTGCCACCTATGGGTCAGATGATTGTCTGCCAGCATTAAGCAATTGGTAATTAAATATTAAATATTTTTTCCCTAAACAGTGTAAAATTTTGGAAAAAATTTTCACGAAAATTAATTGTCACGCACAACGATTCTGTGTGCAAAATGTCAGCTCGATTGGATCACGGGAAGTGGGTTAAAAAACGACCGAAAGATTTGCACGGTCGTAAGCAAGCAAGCACGCAAGCAAGCAAGCAAGTGAACTTAATATAAAGTTATAAAAAGGGAAAGGAAGCTTAGATATCAAACTTAACAACATTTAGAAATGTAATGCAACTCAAAGAGTAGGCTAACACGACAGTTAACACTTTACCTGGTTGGTCAACGTCCTTCCAAAGATTGCTCAATTTTGCATCCATCTTCTCGGTTGAAGTTATGTCTGAGTTGTGTGGAAATCCTCCCGGTAGAGGCGGCATGCTTCTCTCTCTCACCTGAAGACGATTGCTTGTTGTTGCGATCGAAACGTCGTGATCTATTACACTGGTCAACACACTTTTTCTGGCATAAGGTATTCCAACGGGTTTTTAAGGTAATTTTGGGGTGCTGATTCCAAATTTGGCGTCAGTTTTTGTCTATCACATCAGGTTTTTGAGATATCAAATATTTCATTTTCAATAAAAACTGCAGAAGAAAAATATTAAATGAATGTGGATATCTACATAAAATTATATTATAAAAACACTATCCTAAAAATACAGCGCCATATTTTAACACTAAAGCAGTCACTGACTCGCAACAACTTGCAATCATAAGTGACAGAGTTAATTTTGGGTAAAATCAATGAAAATGGGGTATGCCGATAGCATAAAAATTAGATGTGATAGAGATCACATTTTGAATCAGCACCCTGAAATTAGTCTAAAACAGCTGCAAAAGTCCAGGCCAGAAAAAAATATTTTTTGTTGTTGACCAGTGTTATTTATGTTCCTACCTACGTGACTTTACCGAAAGAACCAAAGAGTACAAATAAGGGGGAATAAGCATTTGCCCCATTGGATGTTTGACCAGACGGACGTTGTGACTTGGGTTTAGTCTCAAGTCGTGGGACGATTTGGTGGAACCAGAACCAGTTGAGAACTCAGGGCAGCAGGATAGGGTCTCCCATTTGCCAGATTTGACCGGGGGTCACCGAAAAAACGACGAAAATGCAAAAAAGCGAACAAAATGTACAAGAACGGTGAATGACGGCAAAGAGGAATCGGCACAAAAGCAACTGGCGGGTCACGTGAGAAATCGAAAATAGTGCGCAAACACAAACCCGCGGCAAATAAACTCCCTGCAGCGCAAGTCTGCTCGGTGCAGATTATCACTAAACCGATCGCAATGCAATTACTAACTATGTGAGAGAGCAACACCGAACAGATATAAGGTGACCATTGTACAAACGTGTAAACGGACAAGGATATTTATCAAACGTAATCGTACAACACTATCCTGTGAGCTAATATCTTCATCGTATTTTTTTTTGCCTATCGTTGGCGGTTCTTTGCCAAGTGCCGACAACGGCACAGTTACCTTGATTCTGTTGCCGTAGTTGGGACAATTTGGACGAATGTCCCCTTCAGAGGACAAACGATGGGCGCCAGATGGCATGACGGTGGTTTAACTTTCACCAGAAAAAATAAATCTACTTCCCACCCCCACCCCCACCCCCTAATTGAATTACGACACTCGCTGCTGATGGACTGCTCCTTCACAATTCGGCAAAGTGGGTTGCTACGGTGGCTAGGAGATGTTAGGTCCCTCGCTCGGTATGCGGGAAGCCGTGGATTTGATCCCAACCCTGGCGTCTGCTCTATATTTGGGGTTTGCGTGTCTCTCTCTCTCTCCCTCCCAGTGGTTCGCGTGGATTTTTCTCCGGGTCCTCTGGTTTTTTCCCCTCCACGTTTAGAATCGGCATCGCGCGTGAAGATTTTTTTTTTGCCCGTGATGCATTTCCACGCGACGATAAGCCACTTCGTTGAGCTATCAGTTGCGATGGCCAGGCCGCTTCTGAAAAAGAGCGATATAGCGCAGTGTGGGCCTTACGTGGCAAAATAAAAATAGTTTTTTCGTTTTTAGTTGTTTAATTCAATAGTGGTAGTCAATGTCAAGGTAAGGGTATGGGCGATTGAAGTGGGGCATTTAAGCAATAGTTAGAAAAGTAAAAATTGGATTAACCCGAGCGGACTTCCCAGATTTGAAGGTGTGACCTCTATGGAGGTCATGCAGTTTATCAAACGTTTCATGCGGTGCGCACACCTTGCCGATGACATCACTGCACATTGATGTGAATATCTAATTTCATTGACCCCTCCGACCTTTAATATTGAAGATTGCTCATTCTGCTATATCGGGTAATTAACTGGCGTGGATTTCAATATCACTTTACCAAAACGGGAAATCCTCTTAAATTAAATCGTCTGGATTTGCTTCCAGTGGGAGGGGGAAACAACTATTCGATCCAATCCCGATTGCGGCGTTTCATCAACTCGGCCCACAATGCATTTCTTTGCGCAGCTTCGCCAGCGCGATCGAGGCTGCGCGCTGCATACATCCTGGAGCCAGTTGGGAAGCGCACGTGGTGCAGCCGCAGAACCCATCCCTCACAGAGTTAGAGAAGTCTGCCGTCGCGTAAACGATGAACAGTTTTTTTAATATTAATTTTACAAGGTAAGGCCCCACTGAGCTGTATAGCTCCTTTTCAGAAGCGACCTGGCCACGAATGACAGCTCAACGAAGGGGCTTATTGCGCGGAAATGCATAGCAGCAGCTAAAAAAATACCAAAGTCCTCTCTATAAAATGCGGAAAGAAAAAACGGAGGATCCGGAGATAATGCCACGCAAATGCCACGCAAACTCCAAATGTACAGCAGGCGTTGTCAGGGTCGGGGTCGAAGCCACGACCTCCTGCATGCCAGGCGAGGTAGTTAACATCTCGCCACTGCAAGCGCCTCTTTTGCCTTTGCGTGTAGGCGCACTTGGAGGACGAGCTAATATTATCCAGTCAGCCTTTGCGAGTCTGGGACACCGAGGTCGTAGTCAAGCAGCAGGAGCGTAGCACACGGTCGTGTCTGTGTCTCACTCACGCACGCACGCACGCGCAAACTAAAAATTCATCCCTCGTCTGCGTGACGTTCAACGATCGATGCGAAGTAATTTTGTAAAAGCGGTGACTCGCTGTTGATTAATTTTGCCACTCGCTTGTGATGGAACGTTACGGCGAAGTTATTTTGTCAAAAAATATTTTCCCGTGACCGTGCGTCTCTATTTTTTCTTTCTCCGCAGGCGATCCTGTCAACGTGACGTGCAATATTTTCATCAACAGCTTCGGCTCCATTGCTGAGACCACGATGGTAAGAAAACGTTGATATTTATTTGTATTCCTATTCTACGCTCGTTGGTAAATGATTAGCAAACACTACGGTAGAAAAGCAGAGAACACGTGACATTTTATATTCTTTGGTTCTTTCGGTAAAGTCACGTAGATAGAAAATAGAATTTATAAAAAATCTAATAAAAAATAAAGTAAAAAATAAAAATAATAAAAAAACAAAAACCCACTACGTTTCGATCGCTTGTGTTGCGATCGAATTTTTTTTCTTTTTTAACTTTTATTTTTAATATATATTTTTTTTATTAATTGTATTTTCTATCTACGTGACTTTACCGAAAAAACAAAAGAATATGAATTCCTGCAATCACGAAGGTTTTAAGTGACATCATGATGTTAGCCGGGTGGACGGTGGCTATGCTACTGCGCGTGGCCTCTAACCCAGCACTGTGGAGGCAGCAGCGGGGGTTGATGGGTCGCACAGAGATGTTGCGAAACTCCTTGCGGGCATTGACGAGGTATCATGCCATGGCTCGCCAGAAGTCGATATGGAAAAGTGTGGATTCATATCTCCAGCTGTCCCTTCCGAATGGGATCGAGCGTTGTCCCCTCGCACATGTAATTGGCTGGAAACATCTTCTTACACAGAGGACTGCAGAGCTTGGTCAATCGTTGGTAGTGCCGGCTCACCGACTGACTGCCGCCTTTTCCACTCGTCTGTAATTCCTCGATGATTGTGAGAGACGCAGTTTGCATAAAGGGCCCTATGTGCTTATATATCAAACTGCAAAAAGGAGATACACAAGGATAAGTGCAGCTGCCTTAAAAGAGAACGGAATTCCAGATATCACTCGGAAAGCATTGAACTATTTTCTTTGGTTTCAAAGAAAATAACAAAAAAACTACGACGTTTCGATCACGACGCAAGGGATCGTCATCAGGAGGATTACGAGGAGGATAACGATCGCATGTGTTGTGGTCGAAACGTCGTAGTTTTTGTTATTTTCTTTGAACCTATCTACGTAACCTTACCGAAAGACCCAAATAATATTAATTCCTGCAGTCGCGAAAGCTTTGAGTCAAGATTTAAGCGTTGAACTGTAACGAGAATAATTGGTCAGCGAATGTCACGGTCATTAACAATGCGGTGACAGCAAATCAAAGGGGCTCCACACCAGCAAGATGTTAACTACCTTGCCTGGTATGCAGGAGGTCGTGTGTTCGATCCTGACCCTGACGCCTGCTGTATATTTGGAGTGTGCGCGTCTCTCTCTCTCATCATCACGGTGGCTAGGAGATGTTAACTACCTCGCCTGGTGTGCAGGAGGTCGTGGGTTCGATCCTGACCCTGACTCTGGCGCCTGCTGTATATTTGGAGTGTGCGTGTCTCTCTCTCTCATCATCACGGTGGCTAGGAGATGTTAACTATCTAGCCTGGTATGCAGGAGGTCGTGTGTTCGATCCTGACCCTGATGCCTGCTGTATATTTGGAGTGTGCGTGTCTCTCTCTCATCATCACGGTGGCTAGGAGATGTTAACTACCTCGCCTGGTATGCAGGAGGTCGTGGGTTCGATCCTGATCCTGACCCTGACGCTTGCTGTATATTTGGAGTGTGCGTGTCTCTCTCTCTCTCATAACGGTGGCTAGGAGATGTTAACTACCTCGCCTGGTATGCAGGAGGTCGTGTGTTCGATCCTGACCCTGACCCTGACGTCTGCTGTATATTTGGAGTTTGCGTGTCTCTCTCTCATCATCACGGTGGCTAGGAGATGTTAACTACCTCGCCTGGTGTGCAGGAGGTCGTGTGTTCGATCCTGACCCTGATGCCTGCTGTATATTTGGAGTTTGCGTGTCTCTCTCTCATCATCACAGTGGCTAGGAGATGTTAACTACCTCGCCTAGTATGCAGGAGGTCGTGGGTTCGATCCTGACCCTTACGATGTCTGCTGTATATTTGGAGTGTGCGTGTCTCTCTCTCTCATTATCATGGTGGCTAGGAGATGTTAACTACCTCGCCTGGTGTGCAGGAGGTCGTGTGTTCGATCCTGACCCTGACCCTGACGCCTGCTGTATATTTGGAGTTTGCGTGTCTCTCTCTCTCTCTCTCATCATCACGGTGGCTAGGAGATGTTAACTACCTCGCCTGGTGTGCAGGAGGTCGTGGGTTCGATCCTGACCCTGACGCCTGCTGTATATTTGGAGTTTGCGTGTCTCTCTCTAATCATCACGGTGGCTAGGAGATGTCAGCTACCTCGCCTGGTATGCAGGAGGTCGGGGGTTTGACCCTGACCCTGACGCCTGCTGTATATTTGGAGTGTGCGTGTCTCTCTCTCTCTCATCATCACGGTGGCTAGGAGATGTTAACTACCTCGCCTGGTATGCAGGAGGTCGTGGGTTCGATCCTGACCCTGACTCTGGCGCCTGCTGTATATTTGGAGTTTGCGTGTCTCTCTCGCTCTCTCATCATCACAGTGGCTAGGAGATGTCAACTACCTCGCCTGGTATGCAGGAGGTCGAGGGTTTGACACTGACCCTGACGCTTGCCGTATATTTGGAGTTTGCGTGTCTCTCTCCCCGTGGGTGCGTAGATTTTTCTCCGTGGTCCTCTTGTTTTTCTCTACCACATATCCACGTGATAAGCTACTTTGTGAAGCTATCATTCGTGGCCAGGTCACTTCTGAAAGAGAGATAATAGCTCGGTGATGCATAAACCTGGTCAAATAAAAAAGAAATAAGAAATAGGAAGTGATTCCCTGCTCAATTTGAGCATCGAAACCATGCTCCTATTCTCTTTACAGTGCTGAGCCAGCTTGAAATGTTAGATCCTTACGGTGGGGGTGAGACTATCCAAAGGTCAACCACAGTTGACTTCGGTACCACGAGGGGGTACCGACTTTCTCGACCCCGCAAGGATTATGGCCGAGTCAACTACCTCGCCTGGTATACAGGAGGTCGTGGGTTCGATCCCGACCCTGACATCTGCTGTATATTTGGAGTTTGCGTGTCTCTCTCTCATCATCATCATCATGGTGGCTAGGAGATATTAACTACCTCGCCTGGTATACAGGAGGTCGTGGGTTCGGTCCAGACCCTGACGAAGCCTGCTGTGTACATTTGGAGTTTGCGTGCGTCTCTCTCTCTCACCGTGGTCGCGTGGGTTTTCTCCGCTCTACATTTCCACGTGATGATTGATAAGCCACTTCGGTGAGCTGTGGTTTGTGACGGGCCGGGTCGCTTCTGAAAAAAGAGCTGCGTGAGCTCATTGCGTAGTTTTAGTCAACCCCCCGATTCAGGACGCAAACTCGCAAGGCTTCCACTTGCACGGCCACTCACTCCGCGGCTGAGCCGCCCGGCCGTATACGGTAACAGAAAGCTGCCGTGAAAAATAATAATAATAAAATAATACGAAAAAAATCAAGCGAGCGAGGAAGCAGCTGGCCTTTTCACCGAGTTGCAGAAAAATTAAGTGCGTAATTTGAAGAAGAGTGGGTATTGACTTGCAGAATGGCAATTCAGTCCAGGTAAATGGATTTATGGGAAATTCCCGAATGACAAACAGCAGCATCTGTGAACAATTGGGGGCCTGGGAAAAGGATTTGTGTCATTGATCAGCGAATATATTCTCATCCACAGCACGGGAAACGGCCGATGTTCACATCACCTCCAGTGTGTCACAATTAAACACCTTTATTCAATACAAACTGCATAATTATCCCATCTGTACGCATCAATGGATCGGCAGGCCGATGCACACATCTTCTTCCTGAATGGAAAATTAAAGGCACACGCCACAGTAGTAGTGCAATTGTAGCCATGCAACGCAGACTGTGAGTAAACCCACAGAGATATGTGGAGATACATAGAGACTCGTAGAAATAGAGACACATAGAGACTCAGAGATACATAGAGACACATAGAGACACGTAGAGACTCATAGAGACACATAGAGACACATAGAGACACATAGAGACACGTAGAGACACGTAGAGACACGTAGAGACACGTAGAGACACATAGAGACTCATAGAGACACATAGAGACACATAGAGACACGCAGAGACCCATAGAGCCACACAGACTCGCATAGACCCACATAGACACGCAGAGACACGCAGAGACACACAGAGACACACAGAGATACATAGAGACACACAGAGACACACAGAGACACACAGAGATACGTAGAGACACGTAGAGACACACAGAGACCCATAGAGATCCATAGAGATGCATTAAAATCAAGCCACAGCATTTTAACTGTGGCTCAACTATGGACCACAGTAAATACACTGAGGTCTGTACTCTTGAAAAATTAACCCGTAAAAACTAAGTTTTTCACTATAAATCCTTTATATGCGTGGCAAATAGATTACAGTACGTGTTCAATGGGCCACAACCCAGCCCACATTGGTCTTTGAAACGGGCGGCTAGAGTCCTCTCGTCCTCTGGCTTGAGATGGCTGCCACCTATGGGTCAGATGATTGCCTGCCACCATTAAGCAATTGCTAATTAAATATTAAAAAATCCTAAAATGTTGAAAATTTAAAAAAAAAAATTCACGAAAATAATTTGTCACGCACAACGAGTCTGTGTGCAAAATATGTCAGCTCGATTGGATCACGGGAAGTGGGTTAAAAAAACGACCGAAATATTTGCACGGTCGTAAGCAAGCACGCGAACTTAATATAAAGGATTTTAAAAAGTAGGAGGAACATCTTTCTTGAAGCGCCCTCGTTGTGGGCAGCAGCAGACCTGGACGTTGGCATAGAGAGAGGCCTTTGGAGAAACATTAACGACGAACCCCCGACAGTGCGATTATGGCCATCCAACCTAAACTATGGATTCTAGATTTGAAGCTTTCGTGACTGCAAGGATTCATACTCTTAGTTTTGTCGGTAAAGTCACGTAGGTAAAAAAATTAATAAAAATGAATAAAAATAAAATAATAAAAATCACGACGTTTCGGAGGCAACACAAGTCTCCGTCATCAGGTGGGACCGTCACAGCCAGATTTGCTGCAT